TGAGCGCACACATGAAATGATCAGCTGGAAAAGTGATACTTATAGTTTATCAGGAAAAATGCAAAACAATCAACAGTGCTCATTACAATGAGATGCTCACTGAAGAACTGAAGAAAGACCAGTTAATACCACTGCTATTCAAATTTACATAGCAACCACTAAAGCCAGTGAGGATGAAATTGAAAAAAATGTTACCAACTTCTTCAGTGTGAACTTGATCAAAACATGCAATAAAGATATACTGATAATTACTGGTGAGTTGAATGCAAAGGTTGGAAGAAAAAAAAAAAAAAGAATGATCAGTAATTGGAAAATATGGTCTTGGGGATACATAGGATGCTGAAGATCACGTGATAGAATCTGCAAGACCACGTTTCATTTTCTTTGGTGAGAGAGATTAGCACAGTAGTTGCAAGGATGGACTTGAACTTGTGAGGCAGACAAAGGGCCTGGCAGTGTCCATATCTGTTGTGCATGGGTGGTCATGAGTCACAATGAACTCCACTCATCAAGCAGGAACACCCTCAGCTGAACGCAAGGTGGCTTTTAACACTATCTCTGAGAAGTGACAAGGGAACATCATTAAATGAGTAACCTAAACTGAAAGCCCACCACTTGTCGGCCAGTTTGTCACACTGTGGTGGCTTGATCGTGATGACACAAATGGAGTAAAGCCTTGGAGACCTTCATTTGCTGATGGGCACAACTCAAAATGAAGAGAAACAGCTGCAAATATCCATTAATAACTGGAACACAGAATGTATGAAATACGAAGCTAGGAGAACCGGAAGTTGCCAAAAATGAAACGGAATGCATCAACATCTATATTCTAGATATTAGTGAGCTTAAATGGACTGGCCATTTTGATTCTGACAATAGCATGGTTTACTCTGCCAGTGATAACAAATTAAAGAGGAATGACATCTCATTTATCATCCAAAAGAACATTTCAAGATCTGTTTTGAAGTATTATGCAGTCTGTGATAGGAAAACATCCATACACCTAGAAGGAAGACCAGTTAATATCACTACTATTCAAATTTACATAGCAACCACTAAAGCCAGTGAGGATGAAATTGAAAAAAATGTTACCAACTTCTTCAGTGTGAACTTGATCAAAACATGCAATAAAGATGTATTGATAATTACTGGTGATTTGAATGCAAAGGTTGGAAGAAGAAAAAAAAAAGAATGATCAGTAATTGGAAAATATGGTCTTGGGGATAGATAGGATGCTGAAGATCATGTGATAGAATCTGCAAGACCAATGACTTCTTCACTGCAAATACCTTTTTTAAACAACATAAAAGATGATTATACACATGGACTTCACCAGAAGAAATACAAAGAAATCAAACTGACTACGTCTGTGGAAAAAAAGAGTGGAAAAGCTCCATTTCCTTCCAAACAAGGCCATGGGCAGACTGCGGAACAGACATCAATTGTTCATCTTCAAGTTAAGGCTGAAGTGGAAGAAACTTAAAACAAGTCCGCGAGAGGCAAAATATGACCTTGAACATATCCACCTGAATTTAGAGATCATTTCAAGAACAGATTTGATGCATTAGTTATTAATGACCAAAAACCAGAAGAATTGTTGGGTGACATCAAGAACATCATACAGGAAGAAAGCAAAAGGTCAGTAAGAAGATAAGTAAGAAAGAAAAGACCAAAATGGATGTCAGAAGAAACTCTGAAACTTGCTCTCCAGCATAGAGGTGATAAAGCACATGGAAGATATGAGGAGGTAAAGGAAGTGAACAGAAAATTTCATAGGTCCGATTGAGAAGACTAAGTCTTATATTATAATGAAACTTGCAAAGATTTGGAGTTAGAAAACCAAAAGGGAAGAACACGCTCAGCATTTCCAAGCTGAAAGAACGGAGGGAACAATGTAAGCCTTGACTTGACAAACTACAGGATTCTCTGGGATAAAACAGTGAATGATGAAAAAGCACCAAAAGAAAACAGAAGGAATACACAGGCACGGTACCGAAAGAAATGGTCCATGTTCAACCATTTCAAGATCTAGCACATCATCAAGAGCCACTGGTATCAAAAGAAGTCCTCAGTGCATTGAAGGCACTGGCAAAGAACAAGCCTCCAGAAACGGACAGAATTCCAATAGGAGTCGTTTAACAAACTGACGCAGCACTGAAGACACTAACTCATCTAGGCCAAGACATCTGGAAGACAGTTACCTGGCCAACTCATTGGAAGAGATCCATATTTGTGCCCATTCAAAAGAGAGGTGGCCTGATGGAATGTGGGACTCATCAGACATCAATGATATCACGTGTGAGTAAAATTTTACTAAAGAGAATTCAAAAGCACCTTCAACAGTACACTGACAGAGAAACCACCAGAGACTCAAATGGATTCAGCAGAAGGCTACCATTGCTGACATCAGATAGACTAGATGTTGACTGAAAGCAAAGGCTACCCGGAAGATGCTGACCTGTGCTTTATTGACTAGGCAAAGGTTTTCAGCTGCGCGGATTATGACATACTATGGAAAACAGAGAATGAGTATTCAGGAACACTGTATCTTGTTCATTAGAAATCTGTACATAGATCAAGAGGCAGAACAAGGGGACACTGGATGGTTAAAATCAGGAAACGGGTGTCCTAGGGTTATATTCTTTCACCACACTTATGCAATCTGTATGCTAAGGAAAAAAAAAATCTGAGAAACTGGATTATGTGAAGAAGCACATGCCATCAGGATTGGAAGAAGGCTCAGCAACCTGTCCTATACAGATGGTACAACCTTGCTTGCTGAAAGTGAAGAGAACTTACAATACTTATTTATGAAGATCAAAGGCCACAGCCTTCCCCTATGGGTGCACCTCAATATGAACAACAACAACAACAAAACTCCTCACAACTAGAGCAATAAATGACGCCATAAACTGAGACAAGATATGTGTTTAAAGACTTCATTTTGTTTGCATTCATCAATACTCACAGAAGCAGCAGTCAAGAAATCAAATGTTGTATTGCATTAGGTAAACGTGCTGCACAAGACCTCTTTAAAGTGTTCAAGAGCAAAGATGTCAGTTTGAGAACTAAAGTGTGCCTGACCTGACCCAAGCCGTGATATTTTCAATAACCTCATAAGCATGTGAAAGTTGGACAATGAATGAGGAAGACCATTTAAGAATTGATGCATTTGAGTTACGATATTGGAGGAGAATATTAAAAGTACTGTGAACTGCCAGAAAAACAAATCTGTTTGAAGAAGTACAGCCAGAATGCTCCTGGGAAGTCAGCGTGGCCAGACTGGACTCTCATATTTTAGATATATTATCAGGAGGCACTAGTTCCTGAAGAAGGACATCATGTCTGGTAAAGTCGAGGGACAACGAAAAAGAGGGAGACTCCCAAAGAGATGGATTGGCCCAGTGGCAGCACTAATGGGCTCCAACGGGCTAGTAATTGTGAGGTGTTCGTCGTACAGGAGTCACTACGAATCAGAAGTATGAAGGCATTTAACAACAAAAAATAAACGCAGACAGCACTACAACACCACTTACATTTGTGATATATTTTTTAAAGAAATTATGTTGCTGTTGTTATGTGCTGTGGAGTCGGTTCCGACTCATATCGACCCTGCACAGGGTTTCCGAGGCTATAAATCTATATAGGAGCAGAAAGCTTCATCTTTCTCCCGCGGAACAGCTGGTAGTTTCGAACTGCTCACCGTGAGATGAGATTAGCAGCCCGATTTATAACCATTAAACTACCAGAGCTCCTTAAAGAAATTATAAAAGGATACATAAGGAACGATTTTAAATCTCATAATAGACCTTTGATAGCATCTTACAAACTTGGAATTTCGGTAAGTGAAGAACTTAAGGAGGTTAAAAAATGATGGTCCAAAGTTGTCTCTGCTAAATGATAAAAGAAATTTATAACTGAGAAGAATTGAGGATTAAATAAGAAAACGAAACTGTGATTTGGGAGTTGTGGGTGTAGGTAGGAATCCAGTCTTTAAGTGTTTATGAATGTGTTTACGGACTTCGATACTGAGGTCAGGGAAATGTTTCTGGGTGGAGCAGAAACTTGGATGGTAGATGTTGCTGATACAGCCTGACTCATAACATTATTTAGAGCAGGAAGCAGAATGAGAGTTCTAGTCCTTCCCAGCTTGAAGAGAAGGTAAACTCTGGTATAGAACTCCACAGGGTTCTGGCGTTGTCTAGAATCAGAGACTTCATTCTTCCCATCTGCTGCTTTTAGCCAAGCTCAAAATGAGAAACCTAGCCTTGATCCATCAGTTAGAGGTGGGGATCAACAGTCTGAGGTTCAGCAGACTTCAGGTTGTCCATTAAAGTTTTCAGGCTGCTGGCTCGTACATGTCGTCACCTGGAGATATTACTGAGTTCCATTTTCCATTTTCCTGGGCACCTACTTCCGCTGGAGCATTGTAACTCTAATCAAAATCAAGCCCTGCGCGAACCCAGCAACTGTTGCAGACAGTATTCAGACTGCTGGAAGCCTCGCCCCCATGCGTAGTCATGGAAACGACCGGCAAGCTAGCAGCCAGGGATAAACTGCTCTGCCCCCTCCCTGACCGACATTGTTTCCCACTGTCTGTCCACATGTGCGCACCGCCACACGATTCGTCCTTAACCCAGGACTGTGCCTTCCTCCGACCAATAAGCGGCGTGTGCACGTGTACGCCTGCGTCTCCCCATTGGCCAATCCCTACTGGTCACGCAGCGCCGTCCTGCTCCAGCCGGCGAAGGGCGCCAATGGAATGACTCAGGAGCCCTTTCCAACCAGTCAGCGAGGCGCAGGACTCACCGCAGACCTACGGGCGTGCGCCGGGGGTGGGCAGTCTCGGCCCCTTTCTTTTCCAGGCTGGTCTGTTAAAGCGACAGGGCCTCGGCACCTTCCAGTCCAGGTGGACCACACAGCGGCCGCGGCTGCTTGCTGCGTGCCGTGGGCGCCCGCGATTTCGGGCTCCAGCCGCGGCCCACGTCCGTGGAGCCGAGATGGGAGGCGAGGCGGCGTCTGCGGCGGCCGTGGGCTCTGAGGGCCGCGTGAAGAGCCTGGGTCTGGTGTTCGAGGATGAGCGCAAAGGCAGCTACTCGAGCGGCGAGACAGTGGCTGGGCACGTGCTGCTGGAGGCGGCCGAGCCGGTGTCCCTGCGCGCGCTGCGCCTGGAGGCCCGGGGCCGCGCCACCGCCGCCTGGGGCCCGAGCGCCGCCGCCCGCGCCTCGGCCGCCTCGGAGGTGGAGTACCTGAACGTGTGCCTGAGCCTGCGCGAGCCCCCGGCCGGTGAGCGCCGCGCCTGCCGCGCCGTCTCCGAGTCCAGGGCGGGCGCTGGGAGGGGGCGCACCTGCCGAGCCCCCACCTACCTGGCAGGTGGGCTAGGCAGAAGGCCGAGGTGCAGTCAGCCTTCGGGGGGCCGGAAGCGCAGTGTGATGGCGCTTTGGGGTCCAAGCCTTTCAGCCCCTGGCCCGGAGCACCTGGGAGGGAGTGGGCCCCGCCTGGCGCATCTGATGGCGGAGGATGGAAAGTCTTTGAGACCCGGGTCCGCGGGACCCCGTGTTTTCTGGGCCCCACCTTTTCTCCTGGGTGACTCTCTCATCTTCCTTTCTGATGAATAAAACCCAAGTGTTGGGAAGAGGGAGGTAGCTCCTGATGGGTGGGGGGTCCAATAAGCCACAGTCTCATGGAACTAACTCACCCACACTGCCTCTTCATGGACCCTTGGCGCTTCCCTTTGAGTTCTCCTCGCTTTACCTCCCTCAGTAGCCCAGATTTAGGGGCAGTGAGATGGAGGCATGCTGGGGCTAGATCACTCTTGGTGCAAGACCGAGGTGAGAACTCACGACGTGGAGTTCTCACGTGTGTGCCTGGAAATATTGGAGCCTCGGCCTGTGCAGGGTCTCAGCAACAAGAGACGCGGAGTTAAGTCCTGAAAACCTGTGAGAATTGGAATGATCGCAGAAGTGTATAGTAGACAGTCACAGTCACATGTGGATTCAGAGCCTTGGGGCTGACAACCGTATGTTAGTGGTGGGGTGGGGTCCACCGTCAGCCCCCGGGTCTCCCCATGGGGGCAGGCAGCCCATGGCCTCAACATGGCTAATGGCTAAGCAGAGTAGAGGGCCCTGGAGTACAAGCAAATGGCCTCTTGGTGCCCGGGATTTGGGCTTCTATCTGTGGGCCCTTAATACTGAGTAACTAGATTTAGGACTAACCTAAACAGGGAGCCTGAGATTTGCCACGGAAATTGCTCTGACAAAGCCTGCTGTAACCGTTTTTGTTAACGGTTCTCGTTTTTCTAGTCTTTTGGACTAGAATGTTTAAACGTGCACAATTTGAAAGTCTAACTATTATAAATCTAAGGAGCTCGGGTACCATAGTGGTTACGAGTTGGGCTGCAATTCTCATGGTCAGCAGTTCGAAACTACCAGTTGTTCTGCGGAGAAAGATGAGGCTTTCTGCTCCCGTAAAGATTTACAGCCTCGGAAACCCTATACAGAGTTGGTATGCGTCCAAAGGGACTCCAAGGCACATAACCTCCAACAACTATTTTAGAATGTATGTTTAAAACCCCAAATTGTACTTAGAGCATTGTGGTGTGTTTTGGTTGATCGAATTGAGGGAGAAAAAAACACCCCTGTGGCATCTACAATAAGGAGCCCTGGTGGCTCTTCAGGTTAAGTGCTGGACCCAAAGCCAGTTAAAGATGAGGCCTTTGGGTAAAGATGCACAGCCTTGGACACCTTGTATAGGGTCCGCCTGAGTCATGATTGACTTCCTGACAGGGAGCTCTGCTGGTCCAGTTGTTAACTGCTTGGCTGCGATTTGAAAGGTTGGTGGTTCAAATCCACCCAATACATGTGTAGGAGGCAGAGCTGGTGATGTGTTCTGTAAAGATTGCTGCTTGCTGTGGAGTCGGTTCTAACTCGGTGATGCCCCCTGAGGGCCAGGCTGCTCCGTGACAGGGAGGTTCTACTGTCACATGGGGTTACTGTGTCAAAATCACCTTGATGTTTACAGTTTGGAACACGTTAACAACTTCCCATTGTCATGGGGTTAATTCCCAAACCTGGTGTAGTTTCAATCACCTGGAAAGATTTGGGACGATGTGGATTTCTTGGAATTGTCATCTAGTTCCAAAAAAGATTCCCAATAATGTTTTGGTATTATGACTCGAATCCAGTTGTTAGCTCTCCCTATGATGGAGTCTCTGTTAGTTGTATTGAGGAGGTTGTAGAAAACCAAGAGCAGACCCGAGGGCTGGCCTCTCGCTCACCTACCACAGTTTGACCCTGGAAGTCGCTCACACATCCCGAACCCTAGTCTCTGCCTCTGCAACTGTTGTGTGGCTTCCACAACCCACGAAAGCCTAAGACCAGTTAGTAAGGAAATACCGTCTCTAACATTGTAGATTTCTGTGTACAAGGCTGAGAACTGAATCAGAAGTGGGCATGTGTTTGAGCTGGTGAACCTTTCTGACAGGAAGGAAAGATTTGGTTGCATAGTTTATGAAAACCAGATTCCTTCAGGCACACTGTGACTCATGGTAACCCCATGGGTGTCAGGAGCGCCACAAGAGTCTTCAGTTACTGAAATTTTCTAAGTAGATCGATCGTCAGTACTTTACCTCTGAGGTGCCCTGGGTTTGTTGATGAGCGGTCTCAGTTGTTCCTTTCCTGGTCATGTTTTGAGGTGATTGAAATTCTCATTAAATGTTGTTGTTTTTGTGTTGATGTGTTTTCTCTAAGACGACGAATGTCATCTCTTTCAATCTCCTGACAAATGGCTCTTCTCCACACACATAGAGCTTGGTTTGAACGTGTGCGCTCTGGGTTCCTGCTCCATATGGTAATGAGTCGCATACTCCTTCCCTCCCAGTGGACTCTCATAGGATGGAAGTTACTCATTTTCTGTCCACAGTGCCTGACTTCTGGGCACTGTTTATTTGAACCCATAAGTGACGTCTGCAATTCATTAGTTAATAAATCAGAACTTCAGTCTCGCTGTCTCAGAAACATTGGAGTTACTTGGAGCTATTTTTCCCTGGAGCTCTGAAGTCCCAGGTTCCCAGGAATGTAGGCCTGAGCACACTAGGACAGGATTCACCACCGCTGTCATTTAGCAAGGCCTCCTACCCCTGTGACTTCGTCACTGTGGCTTCAAGTCCTTACGGGTGGAGTGCTTTGGTTAGTGTAGTGGTTATGAGTCGGGCTGCTAACTTGAAGGTCAGCAGTTCAAAACTACCAGCCCTTGCGTGGGAGAAAGATGAGGCTTTCTGCTTCTGTGAAGGTTTACAGCTTGGGAAACCCTGTGCAGGGTCACTAAGAGTCGGAACCAACTCCATGGCACATAACCACCACCTGCGGAGTACTTCTTCATGAGGGCCACAGTGGCAGGCAGACGACACTGTGTTATGTTATTTCTAATGCAGTACACACTGGAAATTGAGGACAGATTCAGAAGACCAATAGTCTGAAAGACTGAAACCCTAACTGATTTGTTTAAGGTCTTAGAAGGATAATGGAGTCCTGATGTGACGCTGTAGGGTAAGCATTGGACTTCTAACCAAAAGGTTGGAGAGTTTAACCCACCAGCTGCTTCTCAGAAACCCTATGAGTTGGAAGCGACTCAAGGGCACTTAACACAACAACGATAGTAATAATACCATTTCTTGAATGCTTTGTTACCCTTCAAAAAATGTAAGAGAATGGAGAAGGAGAAAAGCTCACTTTATTGTTCTGAGGGAGAACTCAAGTCTGTTGTGCATTTCCTTCACCTTAACCACCCCAGGCCCAAAGAGGGAATTCAGCTCCGAGGCTGAGTCTGTGAGCATGAATGGAATACGGTGGCAGAAAGCCCCTTCATGGCTCTCTGAGCCGTTGATGGTGATCGCCCCCCTCCCCATGGACCTCCTGTACTGACCATACAGAATCCTAAGTAGTAATTGTTAATCAAGTTTAATTACAGTGTTGTTCAGTGCCACTGAGTCCGGTCTAGCATATAGTGACCCTGTATAGGGCTTCCTAGGAGCAGCTGGTGGGTTTGAACTGCCGACCTTGTGCTTCACAGTCCAGTGCTGATCCTACAACACCACACCAGGAGCCCAGCTACAGAATTGTTGTTAAGTGCTGTCGAGTCAATTCCAACCCGGAGTGGCCCTGTCGCGGGTTTCCAAGGAACAGCTGGTGAGCTTGAACCACCAGCCTTGAGGTTCACACTGACTTTGCAGTCTAGCACATTTTAACCCACAGCACCACACCAGGACTCCCAATTACAGAATGGTATGTGATAAATATAGTTAGGAATTGCTTAAATGTAATATTGCTTAGATTATCTATGAATACAACGAAATTATTTTGTAAAATCTTTCTGCATTGAATTGCAACATTATTAACAGCATTATTAGTTAATGAAGCTGAAGACTTTAGATTTGTCTCCTTTTAACTACTACTTCATTCTCAAAAAAAGTTATTGCTATAGCCACATAAATACTGTTTACCATAATACCGTAGCTAAAATACCCTAAGAGTTGACAAAATCACCAACTAAAAACACCTGGACAACACAAAACAACAAGGCGAGCAGGGCTTGCTTGTAGCCCATACAGACAATCCCATGGGATCTGAAGTGTCATCATCTTTAGGGGACAGGGACAGCTTGGACAGGAGTGCGTTAGAAAACAAACCCATACTGAGCAACCCTCTGTTGTTGTTTGGTCCCAACCCGTAGCGACCCTGTCTCGGCTTTCCAAGGAGAGTTTGGTGGTTCCAGCGGGCTGCCTTTGCCATCCAGCGCATTAACCCACAGCGCCACCACACCAGGACAACTAGGGTTTCTAAGGCCCAGTGCTGGTAGGGCACTACAGGATAAGCGCTGGACCAAAAGATCCTTTTGAACGGCAAAGTAAGTCAGCAGTTTGAGGTCATCGGCCACTTGTAGGAAACCCAACTATACAGGGTCGCTGAGTTGGTCTCAAAGACAGCAATGATTGTGAGGTCGGTGCAGGACGGGGCAGTGTTTCATCCTGTGGTGCACATGGTCGCTATGAGTTGGTACCGACTCCATGGCACCTCACAACAAGGACAAGCTTTATGTAAGCCAACTGCCGTATCACAACAGAGCAGCTGCTATGAACTGTCAGGTTAAGCAGAGACCCTACAGTGAATGGGTCTTTCCAGCTGGTTCGGACTCAAGTGACCCAAGAGCTCATTAGGTATTCAAAAAGTAAATTAGCAGAGTTTTAGTCTTGTAATTATACAGATACACGTAAGCTGGACTTACAAGGCATGTTTTTTGTTGTTACAAGTAACTACAGGGACTTTTGTAACGTGAATTTCTCCTGAAACACCACACAGAACATTGATAGTCATTCTGTCCCTGACTACCGTCCAGTGACACCCTGCTTAGAGCCAGGCTGCTTGGGTGGATTGTGTAGGGTGTCTGGGCATTCGCTGGAGGTCCGAGCCCTAAGAGTCTGCCACAGACGTACTTGGCTTCTCAGCATCAGTGCTAAGAACCTGTGATACAGAGACTGGAGTGTGGGAAAGGGCTCCATGGGTCCGTGTGTGTCCCAAGTTCACCACAGGAATGGGACATTATTCAGTGGGGCTTGAGTGTGGCTGCCTTGTCCTGTCGGTATGTCTGTTTTCACTGTACCCAGTACCAATAATGTCACAAGTTACGTGTTTTCACCCCACCTCTGCCCAAAGAATATGTAATTTACTTTTTGCGGGATACCAAAAAGAAATAGATTAATATTTTGCTAAATTTATTTTGGGCCCAGTTGGCACCTCACCTTAATATAATAGAATGTGGAAGAACAGTGTGCACGTATTGTACCCACACTTGTGTGTATATGTGTATGTATTAATGTTTCTTAGAATGAAGTAATCTTTGTAAAAATGGATCCACATTTCAATTCTCTAAAGCTAAGTTTGAAGGAGCTCTGGTAGCGTAGTGGTTACGAATCGGGCTGCGAACCTTAAGGTCAGCGGTTCGAAACTACCAGCTGCTCCGCGGGAGAAAGATGAGGCTTTCTACTCCCGTAAAGATTTACACCCTCGGAAACCCTGTACAGGGTCGCTATGGGTCGGAACCGACTCGACGGCACTTAACAACAACAACAACAAAGCTAAGTTTAGTGAACTTTTGGGGCATATTGCGTCTTACAACTAGGAAAATCTCCTTTAAAAAATCCTTTAGGCTATAAATGTTCTTGGTCTAATGATTGAGATAATTACACTGCAATCTCTCTTATAGGTGAAGGCGTCATTTTATTACCACCGGGAAAACATGAATTTCCGTTTAGTTTCCAACTTCCTTCTGAGTAAGTGAAACTTGGTCTGTTGCTGTTTTTCTTTCTCTGTATGGCGTCCGTGCAGATGTCTAGGTGCGGGGCTCTAGGTTGACTCAGACCTCCATGTTTACCCTCGATTGCCCCTAAGAAGACTGATCCCTGAACGTGCTCATTTTCCTCCGCTTCAGCCAATAGTTGCAGGGCTCTTGGATTTTTTGTTTATTTGAAAAATAAGCTTGCAAATGAGTGTCTGGTTTGTTTCAGACCTCTGGTCACCTCGTTCACCGGGAAGTATGGAAGCATTCGGTACTGTGTAAAGGCCATTTTGGAACGGCCGAAAGCCCCCGATCAGAGTGTGAAACGGGAACTGCAGGTGATCAGCCACATCGATGTCAACGCACCGGCGCTCTTAGTAAGTCCGTCCTCCTCATGTATCTCTCCTCGCGGTGCCCACGCTTAGCCAACTTCATGGTCGTTCTGGGCTGCTGCTTTCTGACGGCTTAGAAAATGCAGTCTTGTAACCCGTAGGCATTCACTAGAAACATTGGATACTAGGTTGGGCAAATTACAAATTGTGTGTGTTAATACTATTGATTATGTCCCTGCTGCTAGGACCTTCTATTGCCAAAAAGTTACACAGGCTGGAAACGCATTAATGAGACATAATAATACTAATGCGCGCATCGAGGGCTGGCTTTCACCAGAGGCTGGTGGTCTTCTGGGGTCTGCAGTAATAGCTGACTGAGGAGCAGTAATTAGGGAAGATCCTAATCACACTCAGCCTGTGATTGAGGCTCAGGCCATTAGGCTCTGTCTCCTCCATTCTGCATGTCATTTCCTAGCATTAAGCAAGTGTGTGCAGCTGCCATTGCTCACTTCTCATTTCCTTCTGACACATTTGGCCACATTAAAGCATTGAACTTCTAGTAATCACAAGGACTGCAGGCTGATAAGGAAGATCAGGCTCCAAGTAACAACAGAATAGGCGGCGAGATGGGCCCTAATGAGCTCGACTCTTTGATCTAAACCCACATTATCAAAATAATAGAAAATTATACCTTGTAGTTTCATGATAGCTGTTAGGACCTAATGGGTCTTCATTTAAATATAAATGATGATCTTTTTTTTTTTTTTTTTACTTCAGAAACTACTGAGATAATTGAAACTTTCCATCAAGATGCTGATGTGGCAAAACTGTTTTGTTTTCCGAGTAGAGCTTGCCTTTTCTGTCCAGTGTTTTAGCAACAAGAAAAAACCCAGGAGTTAAATGTTGTTTTAGCTCCATTATCACATGACAAAACAGGAATTTACTGTCACGGTCCACCTTTAGTTTCTCAGCTGACTGAGTTGGAACTGTGACTTTGGTACCCACTTACAGCAGTTTTTACACATATAAGTGACTTTGGTACCCACTTACAGCAGTTTTTACACATATAAGACACTTACAGGGTTATAAGTGTCTTATATGTGTAAAAACTGCTTTGAATGAGGAAGTTAAATAGCCCCACATCCTTTTCTTTATGATGATGTATTCTACAAATGCCTTATAGAAATGATTGAATGGAATTGTATTTTTACTGAAAAGACAATGTTTATCCTGTTCTATAAAGAGAGGGAAAACTTGCAAGGAATTTGGGCTTTTGTGATGAGTTTTTGGTATGTGTGGCTTATTTTAAATCTTCTGTCCTTTCTCTGGATACTGGAATAGAAAAATGTGCTATTTTCAGTAATCTCAGATCCATTATACTCTACCTGCTGTTATATAAAATCCAGAGACCATTCCAGTTAAGGACCCTTGAAATTTCCTCCTAATGTTGAATTTTGAAGAAAAATATGGCTGTTTGCTTATTGCACGTATTTTTAAAATAGTGGTTTCAAAACAAATATGATAGCACTCTATAATTATTGATTTTTTATATCATTTCTCCTTTCACCTTACCTACACATAAAATCTTAAAACCAAAAAATGTAGTGTTGATATGTTAATAGATAATAATGCAGCTGGATTGTCGGTGAGTGCTGTCAAGTCGGTTCCAACCCTTAACGACCCTGTATAGGATTTCCAAGGAGCAGCTGGTGAGTTTGAACCACCAACCCTGTGGTTCAAACCGACAGTTCAGTCCAGCGCATCAGCCCACAGCACCACATCAGGACTTTAGGTTAGCTTTTTAAGGAATGGGTTATAATTTCCCAGAACTATAATGAATACGGGGTTAAAAGAGGATGGTGTTATTGTGCTAATTTAAATATAAACATTCATTTTGATTTTCCTGAGAAGGAAATGACTTCTAATGATTTGTGTTTCAGTAGCATTTTGCATCATCTATCACATGAGGGTAAGACAGTGTGCTTTGCTTAATGGTAGATCTTTTATCTGTGAAAAATGACCTGATTGTAGGTTCTGTCAGTTCTGTCGTTTAATTAAAGGCATTTTTTTCCTTTGAAATTTTCAAGACCCCAGTACTGAGAACTCGAGAGAAAATGGTTGGCTGTTGGTTTTTCACTTCGGGTCCTGTGTCCGTGAGCGCCAAGATTGAAAGAAAGGGATACTGTAACGGTAAGCAGCGTGTTTACACGTCAAGGGGGAGAAGCAGTTTATCTTGTTAACTGGGTTGTAAATGGGTGCAATCTTATGCTTCTTAGAATTTTTGAAGTTCTTACAACACACAGAGTAATAAAAGTTTCTGTTTTGAATATCAGTAATTGATTTTTAGTTACTCTTCAATGGATGAATGTGTCCTGGTGTTTTCCCTTTAATTTTGATACACTTCTGACCCAAAGCAAAGCCAGGAGAGGGGGAAATGCCAATGTTTTATTATAAAATTGGAAAAGACTCTCTCCAGAAGACGGGGAGATGCAGGCGTTTGATTTTAATGTTGGAAAGGACTCCCAGGAAAACAGGCGTTTGGTTTGATGCTGGGAAGGACCACCGTCACAAGAAGAAGGGGAGATGCAGGCATTTGATTGGATGCATTTGAAAGGACCGTCCCGAGCAGGGCTGCTGAGAGAGAGCTGCTGTACTGTGGAATCCAGACTCTGTTTTGGTTGCTGATACACAAGTATGTGGGGCTGGAATGTAGAACATTTCATAATCATAGTCTTCAGGTTGACACTGGAATTACCATCTGCACAAGCCTCCATTCCACACTGGAGACCCCATCCAGGCCTGGCTTTCCACACAAGCCTCCATTCCACACTGGAGACCCCATCCAGGCCTGGCTTTCCACACAAGCCTCCATTCCACACTGGAGGCCGCATCTAGGCCTGGCTTTCCACACAAGCTTCCATTCCACACTGTAGGCCCCATCCAGGCCTGGCTTTCCACACACGCCTCCATTCCACACTGGAGGCCGCTTCCAGGCCTGGCTTTCCACACAAGCCTCCATTCCACACTGGAGACCCCATCCAGGCCTGGCTTTCCACACACGCCTCCATTCCACACTGTAGACCCCATCCAGGCCTGGCTTTCCACACATGCCT